TACATTACTTTTAATAATTACCCATATTTTGTTACTTGAAGGTGTTGTGCGAAGGTGAATAAATAATCACCTTGTATTTCACCCAGGTGGTGGCATAATTTACCTTGGTACAACTACCACCTCTGTTCGCCACTTAAGTGGTCACGGACGTTTCCACATACAGTGTGGGACAAAAAAAATCGGAAATTGAAACGTGACAAAGATGATCTTTCATATCACTAATTATAAATTTGATTTGCATCACAATAACACAAAATAAATATCACGTTTACAGCTACGTTTGACAACCTTTTTGTTTATCGGAACCTTTCTTTTCCATCAAAAAATTCTCACCATATGTCATTCTCAAATAATAAAACGTCTAATGAAACTTTATTAGATTTATGGAATAACGGTATTCGTAATGCAAAAGAACTTCATAAGCTAACAAACATTCCACTATCCACTATTTATTATAATATCAAAAAAATCAAAAAAATGACATCGTGAAGCATGCTGGAGGAAACGGCCGTCCAAGAAAAATTACCGGAAATGCGTCTCGGGCGCTTGGTCAATTTATAAGGAACAATACATCTATTTCCATGAGGACCTTAGGAAAAAAATTGATTAATATGGGTATTGAAGTTTCGTATAGAACAATTGGAAGACACCTGGCAGGTCTTGGATATCAAAAAAAACTTCCAAAAGCAACGCCGATGCTAACCGAAGTTCACAAGCGAAAACGTGTAGAGTGGGCAAATAAACATATTAATGAAAATTGGAATAAGACATTATTTACTGATGAAACAGCATTCCAGCTTTTCAGAAATACTGTTGAACGTTGGTACAAAGGAGAACGGCCGGTACTCTTAATGCCTAAAGACCGAACAAAAATAATGGTGTGGGGTGGTTTTTGCGCAAAAGGGAAAACCAGTTTATTTTGCTTTAAACAAATAATGAACGCCGAGTTCTATGTAGAAATACTTCACACACATGCTCCCGAAATCAAACAGATGCTTGGTCGTAAATGGCGTTTTCAGCAAGACAACGATCCCAAGCATACGAGTCGTTTGGCTAAAACCTTTATTCAAGAAAATTTCCCGGAAGTCCTAGAATGGCCATCGAACAGTCCGGATCTAAATCCGATCGAAAACCTATGGGCAATTATTAAAAGTAATGTAGAAAAAAGAATGCCAAAAAAATATAAACGATGTTGAACAATTTATGATTGAAGAATGGCAAAAAATTCCACATGCCGTTCTAATTAAGCTCATAAAATCAACGAAGCGCCGTTGTGAAT